TCAGGGCATCCTGGGGACACTGGCAGCAACAGCTTGTAGCAACAGCCTCCAGCAGCAGTAGCAGCCTCCCTGTAGCCCCCCCAGGAACATCCTGGGGGCGGCAGGAACTGTGGATCAGAGCTGTTAGTCCTTTATACATAAGTCCATAACCGGGACACCTGGGTGCACATGCGCAACTACATTAGACAATAACCAAGGAACACCTAGGTACATGTGGGGGACTCAAACGACATTTTGTGGGGTTTTGGGATGTGTTGACTGGTCCCACAAAAGGTACACGTGCATATTTACATCAAATGCTTGGCAAGATTCTGAACATCTAAAGGAAACTGAGCATTTTCCTTCACTTTCCTTACAGATGGGGAGCACCATCTGAGGGGTTCCTCTCGGCCTTTCCTACCTGTGTAGCTCTTAATTCACGAGCCAGGCACCCAGTGTGGGGTCAGCTGCCTAGGGTACCCCTTCCCATTAACTCAGAGATAACCTGAGGGTCTGCAATCCCATGTGACCCACAGGGAGACCAACTTGGCCCAGAATCCATTTGTCACCCAGCCTTCCTGTGCTCCCACTCTAAGAGAGGCCGCCATGGTATTCTGTATCCCCTGGTATCCAACAGCCCTCAAGAGACTTGGGTCATTCCCTCTCCGCTGGTCCTGTAGGGCAAGGTTTATAGAGTATTTCTTGTGTACAACTGTAAAGCTGTCGGGTCCTTCCTCCACTTCACTTGATGGCCTCCAAGTCTGAGACCTGGTTCTGTCCTGGAAATAAATAAGATCCTGACAGTCAAAAAAATGGCCAACTTCACCTTCCTGTTTCCGGCTCTTACCCCTTTGGCTACCTGAGCCTAGCCATAGTCTCAGTAGTTGTCCTGTGTTGCTTTCACCACAGATCCAGGCTGGCCCAGGACCCTCGCTGCCCATCACAGCAATCTCGCTTGCTTGGCCTCTAGTGAGCGCCATCACCCGGTCTTATCTTCTGGAATCCTTTCAACCCTCTTTTTCCCAATCGCTAACCCTGGCTGAGAGAGGACAGCTTCTGTGAAGCTTCCCTAGATGCTGGGCCTCACACTAGCACATTCCTCCACAATTTAGCCTAGTGTACTGGGGCCCTTCCAGGTGACATTTGCAGCTGGTGTTTGCTCTGGCCTTACACGCTCCATCTTTGCTTGCATGCCCACCTGAGTCCTCCAACCCTTCTCAGCACCTACCACCCCCTTCCCATGGGCCCTTGTTTCCAAGCTTCCAGTTGACTCCAGACTAGGACACACTGAGCATTTTGCTCAGAATTGCAATCTTGAGTCACAGGAGATGCCCGATATTGCCCAGTTTTATACTCAACCTTCCTGCAGCATCAAGACCCCCTCATGTAGTAAAGGTCCTGTCCATACACATCAGGCACCAAAGCTTTTTTGGTAACAAATCCATTTCCTCTTGTAATAGGTACTCCTCCTCTGTGCCCTGCTCAGTCCTCAAACTAGTTTTCTGCAACAGGGGTCAGCAAACTTTTAAGGGGCTACATAAATATTTCAGGTGCTACAGGCCAGAGGCAAAATTTATGTTTTCACATTTTTTATTGGTAAAACATTTTTGAAATAAGTACAACTTTTTGTACTATGGGGATATTGATAATGCAGTTCTTTTGCAGGAAATTATGTGTTGTTTAATTGGAGTTCTCAGTCTGCAAACTGATACATCTGCAAAGACCATTCTCAGCTTGTGGGCCACACCAAAACTGGTGGCAGGCTGGATCTGGCTCACAGATAAGAGTTGGGGCCAACTGTGAGCAGGGAACCCATGTCTCAGGAACAACCTCGAGAGGACTTGGCGTGGTCAAGAGAGGGGCCCATTGTAGCTGGCCTAGACTTCAGGGTCACCTTGGGAGTTCAGGTCTTCTAGCACACGCCCCCCCCCCCATCTCCCATCCCACGTTCCCGGAGCCCACTCCTTCCACCAATGCAGCACAGGAGACTTCCAGGGGATGGATGTAGTCCTCAACTCCTCCACCCTGCGTCTGATGGCCACAGCATTTTGCCACCCAGTGTAGTTCTCTAAGATCTCGGGTAGAAACGGACCTGTCTTTCTGGGTCTCCTTTTCTGAGCTAGAAACTCAAGACCTTGGGGGGCCCAAGGGATGAGCAGAGACCCTACACACATGGTCTGGAACTGGGCATGATTCCTGCCATTCTCCCCAGAATTCCGAGATGCCCAGTTTTCCCAGCACATCTACATCCTACCTGTGTCCCTGCACCTCTGGCATCCCTTGGGCAACTTGCTGTCCTTGCATCAAGCCATCTGTGGATGCAAAACCCTGGAGGTAAAGTGGCAGGTAAGCAGGGCACATGAAGCCCAGTGAAGCCACAAAAGGGTGGAGTAAGACTAGTCTATCTAGGATTAACTTCTAATAAAACCCTCAGGTTTATCCAAGAGCGTTTTCTCTGTAAAAGCAGAAGATAACCAGATGAAGAGCCTTAAACTGGTGAGACTAAGAAATCTAGTTTACACCGTATGGCTATCAAAGACGGTGGGAAAATAAAGATGCTTTTTAAATAATCTTCATTCACAAGTCTTGGTGGTTTTATTTAGTGCACAGTATAAGGTTAAATTATGGTAATATGCTATGTGTAGAGGTGCTTGGAATTTGGTTTTCCCTGCTAGGTGGACAGCAATTTTTATATCAATTTGGAAATGAGTCTGAATACCCTATCACCACTAATGCAGCACTGCATCAGATAGCAATATACATATGTTCCAAAAAAAAAAATCAAGTCGACACATTTTATAAAAAAACAACAAACTGTGGCTATTGACCTCACAACATATGCACAGCACTCAAAACTAAAGCTCTCCTATGAACAATGGATGTGGCTCCAGCATTAAGGGACTGACCAGCAGGACATCGCCAATGGCTTATGACCACAGTGCACAGAAGTCACAGGTGGCTGGGGCTGTGTACTTCCATTTCATACTTCCCAGGATGCACTTTTGGCCACCATTTCCACCATTCGTATATTTAACTCTTTCTAGTCTTTTACTTAAGCTTCATTGTGTGAATACAAGGGAGATAAAAGATTTGATGTACTAAATCACTTTCTTTTTAATAAGCAATGAAAGGTTAAATCATTTTCAAGTTCATACTAAGTAGAGTTAAAATGAATTCTCTGCCACCACCCACTGTTTTGCTATCTTTTGCTGAGTAGACAGTCTACGCCAGTCATCGTGAAAAACTCTTTATTTTAAGAAAAAATTTAGTTAACAAAAAGTTTAACAAGTTTCACTTAGCAAAATACACCCAAAAGAAATCACAGTACAAAGAAAGCTATTAAGTCAAGGCCTCACCAATTCCTACAGTATTAGTATTGTGTCTCAATTCTCAAATCTAACTTTTAAAAGCTTAAACTTAACCTAAAAGATTTTAAATGAAAATATAAACGAGAATGAACCAGCATGAGAAAAGTTTGTCTTTGAAGTGGGGATCTAGCACCTTTGAGTTTTCCAAAAAAGCACATCTCCCCAAAGTGTTCACTGTGATGCGGTGTGAAAGATCCACATTTAACATACTTAAACTTTTTTAAACTCAGATAACATCACTGAAGACTACTACCAAAATGTTAATTGAGAAAAGCTGAAAATAGTTTTAGCTTACGCACTATCACATGCTAGAAGAAAAGCCTGCATGAGAAAACACTGAAGAGGTAATCTTTTAGTCCAGATTTCACAAACTAATGGTGCGAAATGGGTCCCCCAGCTTCCTCTAGAGTTAGAACTGCTCTTCACTGCTCATTGGCTGCCTGTGAAAATTTGACTGAAATAACTTCAATGCTCCTACAAAGCTAGTCGTATCCACCCATGCTGTTCTGACCACTGTAGCTGGTCCCGTAACAGCCACTCACCGCTGGGCTCTCCAGGCCGCTGTAGGAGGCCTGGGCTGCGGACACCCCCATACCTTGCATCACCTGGCTAGTGTAAGCCCCGTTGCTGGCCCCTGTTGTAGTCGAATTCAGAAAGAGTTCTATGTATCTGTGCTGCATGTTGGCCCTGTCTTTGGACATAGCTGCCACGGCTTCTTCGTGAGTGGCAAACTCAACGTCTGCTTCACCCGTCACTCTTCCATCAGGGCCGATCTCAATGTGGACTCTCACAGGGTTGAGTGGAGAGAAGAAGTTGTAAATGTCATTCTCGGTCGCTTTGTATGGCAGCCCCCTCATGTGAACACAGTGGCCGGTGGTGCCCTGCACGGTGAACTCACTGTCTCCATATCTGTGGTCATACATGCCTGAGAGACAATAACTGAGGTCTCTCCCAAACAGGTCAGTGGTGAAGCCATAGCCGTCGCTGAGGCCACTGTACTCCTCGTAGCCTCCATAGCCCGCACTGTAAGCACCAGGTCTCATCCTCTCCAGGCCTGCTTGCTTCACGATACCAATGTACCTCCTGGCTGTGCCAGGCCGGTCATAGGGGCCTGGCCGCTGCACAGACATGAACTTCAGAGGGGGATCTGAGTATGACCTAACCTCCTCCTGACTGCTCTTGAACACTTCAATATACCTGTGCCCTATTCTCTCCTTGTGCTTCCCGAGAGCCTTCTCAGCTAACTCCTGCGAGGCAAACTGCACAAAAGCTTCCCCTGTAATCTTGCCCTCGGGGTCCACAGGCAAAGTGATCCCATTTGGCACGATTTCTAACCCTGAGAAGAACTGAACAATTTCTTCCTTTGTGCATCCAAATGGGAGTCCCCGAAGGCGGACGAAGCCATCGTTGGCAGTGTCGGCGCTGTTGGGACCACTGTGCTTCAACACCCAGTCCATCTCGGTTCTGTGGGACTTGAATACCTCAATGTACCGGTGTCCCATGCTTTCTCTGTCTTTTTTCAGGGCCATTTTTACATCATCTTCTGTTTCAAGTTCAACAAAAGCCTCACCACTCTGCCTGCCTTCTCTAGTATAGATGAAATGGACACCTGCAGTCCCATCACGAATTGTGCAGTCAGATAGGAAGTTCTGCACATCTTCAATAGAGCAGGACCAGGGCAGGCCACGGAGCTTGACCACAAAGCCTTCACCTCCCTCAGGGCCCAGCATCATGGACACGTGACAGGGCAGATGTCAGACAAGTCTGGGTGCAGTTTTTCGTGGCTGCAAAGAAAGTGAACATTAGGTAATTTTTCATTTAATATGCAAAGCAAGAATATGCAGTAAATATTGTTTTCCCTATTTACAGGTGAGGAAGGTAAGAATGAATAAAATAAGACATTGAGAAATATACCAAATACACTTGAGCATAGATTCAATCCAAAGTCTCTTATAAAAAATGATATGATATAACCCATAGAGTGAATAACAATTAGAGGGAATTAGGGGGTCTTAAGAAAAAAGACAAATAAAATGGAGAATAAAATTTGGAAAGGAAAATAATGATTTGGAAAGGCCAGTCCACAAACTAGAAACTATAAATTCTCGAAGGTTCAGAAACCTGAATACACTAGCCACCAAAAAAACAGAACAAAACAAAACAAAAATAAACAAACAAAAAAGGCAACTCTAAGTTCTAGTGGCTAATTATCATAGGTTTTAGAAGGGAGGGGTGAAGAATTTGGACGCAATATTCAAAAGGAGCAAGAATTTCTCAGAATTGGAAGAAACAGTTGAGATGTACTAACATATCAGTAACATAAAAGGAAGGAGACCTTAACTTGGACCTGTCTCATTTGCGCCGTTACATGGTTAACTGGGGGACATGCAGATGTCTTTTAATTCTTCAGTATACTAATTCTAACCAGGTGTACAAATGACATTCTTGTTATCTCTATGGTCTGGTGTAGACTCAGATGAGTAGAATCATTTTAGTATGAGCTAACAGCTCAGACTCTCCTCCTGGGGCACCTGACCAAGTTTTTATTATGTCTCTCTGGGTGATGGGTCTAGGATCCTAGGATCAGGGCGGGGGCTTCCTGGGCTTCTCCACTCCCAATGCCCAGTCAGGCCAGGCACTATTTGTTGTATTGTTTTTGCCCAACATCCTGGTCATGCTCCTCACTCATAAAAACTTCATTCAAGTTCTGTTACCAGAATTAGGTCCAGCTGTACTTCTGGATGGGGAGGTCAATGCCCATGAGCATAACCTATAATCTACCTACCATTTTCTCCTGGACTCCTTTCCAACTCCAATGACCTCACCATTCCCCATGAGCCTCCTTGGGCAATGCTGTCACCAATAACTTCCTAAAGTCTAAGAGCGACACTGCGGAAATCCCCCCATGTAATCACATCCTCCTGCCTCCACCACAACTGCTATCCTCCTTCACAGAGACCTCAACATTCTTATCGACGGCCCCTTTCCCTCCTCTCTTCTCAGGATCCAGCACAGCCCTCATGTATCATTTCAGTCCTCCCTCACAATAAGTGGAACTTGTATGTACTTCTCTTTATTGTAGTATTAGTAAAATTAAAGCTCTGGAAGATTTCAAGTATCTGACTATTCCATGGCTGTACTGAGTGGCTCAGCTGTACAGTCAGGCAAAATGGTGCTAGGGTTTCTCAGCCTCAGCACAGGTGACATTTTGGACCAGAAACAACTCTGTTGTGTGGGATATGCCAACAAATTCTAAAATGTTTAGCAGCATCCCCGGTTTCTACTCACTAGATGCCAGTAGCACCCCCAACCCCAATGATGACAACCAAAAATGCTTCCAGATATTCTCAAATGTTTGGGGCGGGGGGGACGACACGGTCACACATGCAAATAAAGCTGTTTGGAGTTAGGAACTACTGTAGAAAATCACAGTTGCCAACCTTAGAGCAAGCTGTCAATGACACCTACAATCCTACCACAGCCCTTCAGATGTCTGGCCAGCCTCACCTCCAGTTGCTCCTCCACTTACAAGAGAGCAAAAGTTTTCTTACTTTCATCTTACTTGTTCCCACAACGGGATTGAACCATTCCTTCCCAGAAACCTTCTCCCCACTTCACTCCCATGATGCAACTCTCTCTTGGTTTTCCTGTGAATTCCTTAGGCACTCTTTCCCAGAGTCCTTCCTCAACCACTCCCTGTATCCCTACAGGGAGCCCAGTCCTCTTCAAGGTCACCCCACCTGTTCCCTGGCGTTCTATAATCATCTCTGGGCTCAGGACACCCACGTTCCCAACCTTAGGTTCCCTGAGGCCTAAACTGGTATATACAACTCTACTCCACAGCTCATCGTCTGTACCGCAATAAACTGGGCACTTTTCTTCTTACAGCTTTCCAACTGCAACATGAAAGGCCTCACCTGCACCCGGAAGCTCTAGAAGAAAACTGAAGTAATCCTTGAACTGCTCTCTCAAATCCAATCTAATCATCAACTCTCTGGGGTGACCCCATTTTCCACAGGGCCCTTACTCCTAAGTCCTATTCATTGCCTCTTGACTTCCTCAACAACAGAGGTTTCTCACAGCCCTAAACTCAGTCCCCAACACACTGCCTGGCAGAGTAGGAACACAATTCCTTCCTCTGTAATGTGAATTAGCTAATTGTCGTTTCCTTCTGTGTTTCTCTCATAACCTTCTATTTCTCAGGTCCTTTTTACTTCCCCACGTTTCTTTCTAATTCTAGTGCAAACAGTCTATTCCAGGTTACCTTCATCTCATGTTTGAAGTTCTCCAAGCGTAAAGGCTAGCCCTTATTGCTACCTGATCCACAGCTCAAGTAACTGTTCTTGTGAAATGTGTCACTGTCCTCTCTTAAGTGCTCAGTGGCTTCCCACTGGCCTCAGAACAAGGACCATAGGACTAACAGGGTCCTTTGACCTGGCTGACTTTAGGCTGTAACACTCCTGTCTAGCTCACATCACTTCCTTTGTTCTTTTTTCTCCTGGGTGCCTGGAATGGGCCAGGCTCTTTGCTCCCTCTGGGATGTGACACACATGTTTAACACACATGGCTGACACACATGGTAATTCTCTCTCTCTAAATATACTCTGCCCAACCTTCCATCTAGCTAAATCCTGCTAATCCTTTAAGTCTCAGATCAATACACCACCTCTCCAAAAGGTCTTCCCTTTCCTCACAAAGGAAATCTCTTGGTTCTACACCCACACAGCACTCCTGCTGTGATTTGTTTAAAAGTTGTCTTCAAATAAGGAAAAAGAAAGTCCTCAAAACTACACTGGGAGCCCACTGGGGTTACTGTTTTGTTGGCCACTGGGACCCCACCCTCAGCACAGGACAGGCACAGCAGGCACAAGATTAGCAAGGGATTAACAGCTGGCCATGTGGGGTCAACACCTCAACATCTTCCTTAAGAATGCAGCAGCCTAGCTTGGCTGAAAAGAACATATAAGAAGTATGAAACACAAATGCTTTGTCTGAGAATTACTCAAAATCCCTGCTACTAACATACATATCAGAAATGTTCTGTTTGACAAAATGTTTCATCCCTGCCAGCTTCCAAAAAAAAAAGTTTCAGAAACAAAGTGATTTTCTCTCTAAATGTAAGGTGAAAAGTACATTCTTTGTCGAACACATGTCTACACTGAAAACGTTTGTTGCTTATTTTTCAGAATTAGTTTTCTCTTCCATTTATCAGAAGTTTCATTAACTAAAACACAGTTGAAGAGTGTTGTGTAGTTCTGCTCAAAGTTATATTTAAAGCTAGTGCTATTTTATTTATTTATTTTTTTGGAAATTCAGGCTCCAAAGAAAATTCCCATCTGCTTGAATGTAACAAATCAAAAATAAGAAAGGGAAAAAATGACTTCTGTTAAAATAGCTTACCTTGAAAAACCACCACGGATGCCTTCAGTGGGGGACACTCTGGTAGGTAACGAATTGTCCTAGAAAACATAGCAATACTGACTTAAGGACATAAGCTCTCCAGCATCCATTGAAGTGGCAGGAGAGGGTGGATCCCCAGGACTGGGCTGGGAGTTCCTCCAGCTGCTGGAAATCCCTTCCAAACGCCCCTGGGTTAAAATAATTAAAATATCTTACCCAGTCTATCCTAAATCTTTTCATAGGGTAATACAGCAGACAACAGGAGGGAAACACCCAATTTGCCTTGATGAGACTTACTGATTTCCTGAGTCTGTATTCTACACAAAGAACTCTTGAGTGGAGGAAATTTAAATCTTGAGGGTGGGGGCAGGGCAGAGCAGGAGGGGTGGGGGTGGTCGCTGGGACTTCACTGTGTTGGGCAAGTGTTTGTTCAGCCTGACCTACAATTTACAAAACCCCTCAGGGGGCAGTGCGGAGACACTCCCAGTTTTATTTAGTAACATTTCTCCTGAACATTATTTGATCTCACAATTAGTTTACAGAGGATGAGGGGAAGAAATGTTCAAATATGTTTTTTGGTAGGAAAAACCATAGTCACTACCATCACAAACAGCCATGTGATATAGCTGTCCTTAAAGGACCCAGTCCTAACAGGGCTGGAATCTATAGAATACTTCAGTGCAAGCTACCTTCTTAGTTTTGGAAATATCAAACTGAGAAAGTCAGTTTTTTGTGCTGAACCTGTTGTCTTTAACCGTTTGGTGGGTGAGGAGGGCCCTGTACAAATGGAAGGCATTAGTTATGAGGAAACCCGCTGATCTGGTTTAAAACACCGTGAACAAGAGGCTTCAACCATTCCTATTCCCTTGCCTCTGCCTCCCGGGAAACAGAATCTAAAGGATGGAACCCAGACATCTGAATGATCTGATCCACATCTGTCCTCGGTTATACCAGCGCCCAGCTCCTTCCTATGCGCTCCGAAGACCAAGACCTGGGGCGTCTCTGGGGTCAGGCAAACTGGCAGCCGGACACACCTTACCCCATTCGGACAAGACCTGTGAACTGTGGGCACACTAACAGTAAAGAGACACCTGTGAACAGCCCGGTCTCACTGCTGGCACATTCTGCAATTGCTGGGGAGCACTAAAAAAATACTGCTCCTGGGTCCTGCCCTATTGAGCCTGCCTTAACAGTATTGGGAGCAGCTGGGAGGACTTTGCACAACATCCCCAGGTGACTTGACTGTGTAGCCAGCCAAGTTTTAGATAAGCGGTTGCCAAACGTGTGCATAACGATCACCAAGGGAATTTATTAAGATGCAGACTCCAAAACCATAGACCTGGGATGGGGCTGACAGTCTGCATTTCTTTTTTTTTTTTTGTCTTTTTTCCGTGTCCGGCAACGGATCGCAACCCTCAGTGTTGCCCCCGTACCGGACCGGGGACCGGCAACGGGATCGCAAACCTCGGTGTTGCTCCCGCGCCTCGCTCAGCCAGTGAGCGGGAACCGGTCTGTATATGGGATCTGAACCCTCGGATGGGAGCGCCACCGCGCTTCCCAAGCGGCGCACTATCCAGTGCGCCACTGGGCCGGCCCCAGTCTGCATTTCTAACAAGCTCAATAGAATATGCTCTCCAGCACCGTGAGACTTGTTAGACGGGATTTACCTTGCCTTCAGGTAGATCCCATCAAGATAAACAGGGTGTGTCTCTGAGTGCTAGGACTAGCTCGGTTTTATCCGAACAGTAAACAGGGCGATTTAAAAGCACCACCTATCTTTTTTGTTCAGGACAAGAGGTAGGGTGGGACCAGGGCTTCACCCTCCTCTACACATCTCTGTGGTCTGAAGATGCCCCTCGATCATTTTCACCAGGAGCCCGCTCCTCCCTTCGTTTTTAAAGTGTATTTTAAGGCATACAGCCAGGAAGTGTCTTAATTGCTCACAAAGTTCTACCCTGAAACCAAAGTACACAGGGGCCGCGGCCTCGGGACTTTGCCGTGGACTTTTTCGCTCTAAGACTTACCACCGCGGAGAGCAGGACTGGTTTCTATTTTCATCCAGCAGGCGCCGCGGCTCACAGCCACACACCCCCCAATTTCACCCGAGGCTTAACAACGCAGAGGGCTCCGGGGAAAGTCCAAGTGCGTGCTCCGTTTGTTCTGCACCTGAAATGAAAATTCGAGTGGCCGGGCGAAAGCTCTCCCGGAGAGTGGAAGCGGCAGGCGCGCCGCTAGCGTTTTGGCGGGAAGCACAGCTGAGGTGCGGGAACCAGGGGACGGCGTTCCTCGGCATCCTCCTGGCGATGCAACCGCCGGGGCAATCGCGGCCTGCAGGAAGAACCGCTCCGGGGCCTGCGCGGGCGCTTCCGGGTGGGGCGG